AGAAGATGATTTTCTCTACCTGAGTAGCGAAGATGACTTTGAGTCGAAAATACTGAGGTCTTCTACATCAACTCCTCAACTTTCTAAACAAGTTCTCAAAAAAAGAAAGACTTGGTTATAATCTATGCAGGTTAAGAACGAAACGGAAAAATATTTCAAAAAGTCCAACTTCGATCAAAGATAGCAGTACTCTGAAAAAAGAACCTCTACTCACAGTTTCTTTATTTGGCAAAAATTTAACTTCCAACCACTTACTGCAGTACTCTTGAAGAAAAATCCTTGTTCGAAATTTCTAAAATTAATAAAAATTCAACTTTAATCAAAGATAGAATTATTTAAAAAAAAAAGAATTGGTTGTATTTTTTAAATCTGGTAAAAAAAAAAAATCTAACTTCGACCAAAGGCAGCAGTAATGTAAAAGAAAAAACAATGGCTTGGAATTCATAATTTGGCGAAAATTTAACCAAGACAGCAGTACTCTGAAAAAGAACCTCTACGCACTGTTTCTAAATTTGTCGAAAATTTAACTTCAACCACCGACAGCAGTTCTCTATAAGAAAAATCTGTGCGCGCAATTTCTAAAATCAGAAAAAATTCTACTTTGATCAAATAAAGCAGTACTTAAAAAGAAAACCATTTGGATGAATTTTTTAAATATGCTGAATTTTTTTTTAACTACGGCCAAAGATAGTAGTGATTAAAAAGAAGAAGAATGTCTTCGATATCTGAATATGGGGGGGGGGGAATATATAAAAATGAATAAATGAATAATATGAATGAGGAATTTAAATACAATTTCGCTATTGGCAGTCCACCAAAAGAAGATTACTCCGAACAGAAACTAGTATTATAATTTTTAACGATTAAGATTATAGAACTTTATAAAAACTTCAATTCAGAGGACTTTTATTCGAAATCAAATCCAATGTGGCACATCTATTGAACTAATCATGAAGTCAAAATAAAATTAAAACTATACTGTTTCCTCTGTTTTTAAATCCGTATTATGAATTTAGGTTTATATGAGGTAATCGGGTAAAAATATGTGGCTATCTTTACTATTTTTTTCTGTTCATTTACATAGTTATAGGTTAAAACGTTGGGAAATTCTTCAGGGTTAATAGGATTGGTATTCCCCACTATAACCAGCTAAATATGAGTTTACCTTTCGTTTTTGATTTGTCTGTAACACATACGTCAATGCCATTAAATACATCCCTGGAATCGATGGAACTCATTAATTAGTGCTCTAATCATGCATGTGATATGGAGCAGCAATTTTTCGATGGTGGTTGTCCATACTGTATATTTTCATATCCAAAGCTCCACTCAGTTGAACATGCCTCAGCCCGAGTCAAAATTCCTGATGGTTCCATCAAAACATTTTGATGGTTTATCTTGGTTTCTGTGCAATTCATGATGGTCCAACATCATTTGATAGTCACCATCATTCAGCCTTTTCCATTGCGTATTCGTAGTTATTTTGATGGTTTATCTTGGTTTCAGTGCGATTCATGATGGTCCAACATCATTTGATAGTCACCATCATTCAGCCTTTTCCATTACTTGTTCGTAGTTTTTCATATGCCAATAAACTTCCCTCATTCCTTAATGGAAAATGCTACTTTAATACTATGGTTAATCATCGTGAGCAGTTTGACTCTCATGCACCAACAATCCATGATCATCCGTGATGGTTCCAACTATACATTTCCATGATGGTTTAATGGAAATTCCTGATGTTTCAACTAAACAAACCATCAAAACAATTTGCTATTCTTATGTTGGACCATCATAAATCAGTCCGAATTCCTACATTGAGGTGATGGTTACTTGTATTGGTTAAAATCAAAAAATATAATGGTTCATGATGGAATTATTGATGGTTTCCATCAAGTTTATGTTGGTTCATCAATGGAAAACCATCAAAACTTTTGACTTGGGTAGAAGCAATTCTCGAGTTGAAGCAAGGTCTTCAATTTCCTCGAAATAGGAGTAAGTTGAAAATAAGGATAATGGGCTAACATTTTCTTTTCTACATTAATGCACGCCTTAGAACTGCTACATAAAATGAATATTCTGCATATCACCCCTTCGCAAAACTTGCTCCGCCACAGCACTGTGATAAAATAAATAACAAGCGGTGAGTTGTTGCTGTTGTTTATCCTCTCTGTCTGACGGAGTCCGACAAGATCCACGAGTTCGTTGACTGAAAGGAAGTCGAAGACCAGAAGAGGATTGCTAAAGAGATCCTCCTTAGAGAGTACCATGCAATTCAAGAGGTGCTCAGGAGAAGCCTGATGAATTTGGCACTTGGTGCAGTAACGATGAATAAATCATGGGTTTAATTCTCATTGAAAACACCGGAGAGCTATTATGTTTTCTGATGCATGAAATTCTCTAACAGATATTTCGTATCACTGAGTTCTGATCTGCAATCGGTTTTTCTCTTCAAGCTACATTTTTTTAAATGACATTTTTAATTTATTCTTTGTCGTTTTAATTTATTATATATGACATTCTTAATTTATTATATATGACAAGTTGTCACTAGAAATGTTGTGGCAAACTTTAACAAACTTAAGAAACATCAACTAGATTAAAATTGCATAGAAACCCATGCCCAGAAATATCGTCTTACGCCACTAAGGGTACTTCCCATTTCTTCATGTGCTTCTGAACAGGTCATAATAGAGAAGCGCCCCTAACCTCTTACGATGACATTTCCGGGCATGTATTCTTATGCAATTTTTATCTTGATGATGTCCCCTAACTCCCTTAAAAATTTGTACCAACATTTGCGCAACACCTCGTTATATAAAACGTTTTTAACTTGTACATTTCGACAAATTCAGATTTGAAATTTCCACACCAGCATTAGGCAGGATCAAGCATTTGTAGAAATGCAACAAAAAATTTGTTACCCAGTTTAATAAGCTTACTTTGAAAGGTTTCTTTAATGAATTCTAAGTACGAATGTATACTTATTTGCTGAAATTTTCTAATCTCTGTAACTATCTGAACAATCCTCGCTTGTATTTTTGTTTTAATTTTCTGACGTTGATAAATTGAAATAATAAATCAGTAACTTTTATTGTTTTCATGAAATTATCTTTGGAGAAGTGAGTTTCATAAATGCATTTAAGAAATTTGATTTCGCGTTATCAGTTGTAGAAATATGGCAAAATAAAAGAAATAAAAATCTAAACATTTCGTACTCTTAACAGCCCAAAATACTGCTGGGAGATACCGAATTTTAATATCCCAGATAATATCAATATCACACAGTATCACAATTTTCTTCCAATTGAAAAAAAAAAATAAAGTTATTTTTCAGTTTTATAAAATCACCGTCACCGAAATCAAATTTATAAACTCTCACGATAATATCGCTTCAGTGATTATCCTTATCGATAATACTAGCCATATTATCAGATTTATCGTTTTCAGTATCAGACATTGTTATTATCATTATCGATCTTGTAAAAATATTAAATACTATTCAAAATATCGTTACATGATATTTTTAAAAAAATACATCGGTGCTTCACGATATCACCTAGATGTAGCCCAAACTAACTACATATTTATTCTCTTAGCTAAACTACTTGCCACATTTTTCACATTGTGGTTACCCCGTTTTTTTTGGAGGATTCATCATTTAAAAAATAAATTTATTCAATGAAGTTTTATTTTGTGTGAGATTTAGTAACTTTATCAATAACAACTTTATTAACAAGTACGAGTAAAATATTTTATTTCTATATAAAATTCTAGATTGCAGCAGAGAAAGACTAATGGTTTACATGAAAAACTTTGGCAACATAACCACATTTAAGTTAATTTTTAATTAGCAGAAATATTATTAGAATATATATTAGAAAATATATTAGACAATATATTAGAAATATATAACATATAATATCAATATATATTAGAAAATTCATTAGTAGAGATATATAATTTTTGTTAATTACGATGGAGGTCTCTGTACGTTTTATTGAGTAATTTTCATATCTGTAAGCAACTTTAAAAACAAAATTATCGCATAAATACTTTTCACGATTACTATAATTGTTATCACGATTTTTAATAAAATATCGGAGCTTTACAATATATCGATATTATCACATCTAGCTTAAAGTACTATTTCATCTCCTAGTACCTCAATTAAGACTCCTCAAATTAAATTCATGTTTACGGAATGAAAGTGTGCTGTCCGTAAAATTTACTAACTTTATCGATAACAACTTTAAAAATAAGTGCAAGTAATTTATTTCTATATAAATTGTAGATTGAATAGATTGTAGCCACATTTCATTGAATTTTTCTTTGGCTGAAATATAGATTGCAGCCACATTTCATCTAATTTTTCTTTGGCGGAAATTTCACCATTTTTGTCAAAGTTGAATACGTGGAAGGTACTTGTTTCTTGTTATCTGTCTCTGTACTACCTGTATCAAGACTTTCATATTCGTAAGCAACTTTCCGACAAACTACAGTTAGCATTGAAAGTAAATCCGAATCATCAGCTCTCTTTTCTAATACTTCACATAAGGATTGGATGAACCATGATCCTTTTCCATTTCGTTTCCAAGCTATGAATTCTGCAAAAAAGAAAAGCTCAGCTTATGGATTTTTCTTTTTATTATTTAACACACATCGCCAAAACATTCTACAAAACACCAAATTGCATATAGATAAATTTTTAAGCATTTACAAATAGCTTATGGCCATGGCATTTTAAAAAAAAAATACATGACAACCGGCGAAATATGATATACATCAAGCGTCCTATAGAACACCAATTTACAAACCGGAAAAGTATACATTTAATACTTTACCATGGCACTCTATAGAATTTCGAATGACAGACTGGCAAAGTATAAAATGAGAGAATATTTACCATATTGCCTGGGTATTTTAGAAAAAGACAAACCGAATAACAAGCTTACTTTGAATAAAGGATATTTATAGCTTACATTTTTTTTCCTGAATAGCATCCATATTTTTAAGAAGGATTGCTTTATCAGTACCCTTTTTTTAAATAATTTTGCCTAAGAGTATTTGTCATTCTACAGATAGTCTAGGTATTATATACAATACTTAGGTAAAGTATATATATGAATTCTCAAAATGTTGTCAAACTTTCAAGCTATTCTATAAAAGCATCTAGATATTCTAGAGAATGCTCGTGTTTTAACTCCTTCCTTCTCGCTCCCTCGAAAATGACGGGGTGAGTTTTCGCTCGCTATTTCTCGCTCCCGTGATATTGACGGGCTGGAGTGTTCAGTAGTAATGCGCCAATAAGAATAAAACTAATTCATTTCTTTTGGCCGGAAAACATTTTATTTCTCATTTTACACACCATATAGCAGTACCAGGATATTTTTATGGTAATTGTAAATAGTTAGTTTATTTTAAACTAGATACTAGAACTTATCAAATACGTGCATTTGGCAAAGACACTTTTATGACCGTTTTCTTGAAAATTAATTAAATATTATCAAATATTATCAGTAACAGAGTAGCAGATATATAAGCAAACCTTCTTTAAATTTATCTCCAGAACTGATGTTTTTATATAAAATTCTTTAGTAGTATTATACTTAAATAGGTATTTTGCAGGTTTTCGGAACTTCTACTAGATAATAACACAATATACATAAACATTCAAGTGCTTACATTGGATTCATGATTTTTTCCACCAAAAAAGTTATTAGTTATGAAGGTTTTTATTGTTTTCTTTTTTAAATCTTGCATAATACCATAAAATGACAATGTAATAAAGTTTAGGTGGTGAAATAATCTTCGTTAGGATCCTGACAATCTTCTTTTAGATAAAGATATCTAAAGTTTTCAGGGATGTGTTCTGAGTTCAATAGTTTAGCTTATTTTATGTATAGTTATTTAGAATAATTAAAAACAATCTCAGTGAGTAATTCATTCCGACATTAAAACCTTGATTTATACATTGTTGCAAAACTAATCATGAATTACAAAAATTAATTTTACTTTCTTTAAATATTTTAAATACTTTGATACCACCTTTACCCTATAAGTATGCAAAACAAATATTACTAACTTGGTGATGTCGAATAAGCAATTAAAAAGTCCGCTTTCACTGGGATTTTGAAAGACTGTACTGTTTCACGCATGTGCTGCAAGCTATTCCCCTGTGGCTGCGCCCATACCCTAGGAAACAAATCCGATGCCAAAATGTTGTAGAAAATGCTTATTCCTGGATCGTAATCATTTCCACGACAAGCCTGTAAAATCCAAAATAATAAGTGAAAAAGTCATCTAGGGTAAACCGACCAGTGAAGGAACACTACCCAGTGAAGGAACATTTCATATATATTGATTAAAAATAAGAATTTGAAAGTTTTTCTTTAGATTGATTGGTAACAATAGCTTACTGCCAAACAATAGGAAGTCATCTAGCAATGTTTTGGATTACCTGGTCAAATA